ATATATATATATATACTATGCGATCCATTTGTCTCGTAAATCCCCCACCCGAGTTGCTCTGACGCGCGAACGTGACGTAATTGCCTGGCTTGTACCACTTATAGCGTTACAGTTTGTCTTTGGGTATTACGAGATGGAAAGAAGTGCAGCAGCTGTGTTGTTATTGTTTTTTGGGTACGGTTTCAGGTCAGTGTAAATTAATAAAATGTTTTTCTACAGAAATACAAGTTGACATTAAAACGACCAACATAGTACAAATACAAAGAAAATACATCTCAATATGGGCGCTGCCATCTTGTTTTGCGAGTCGTACGTTCACCCTAGCTCGGGGGTCTCAGTGAAATATCGCGAGATGGCTGCGAGATTACGCTTTCCAACTCAGGCGCGGGATTTACGAGACAATGGATAGCAGTTTTGCCATGGCATGCATTAAATGTCTTTGATAATTAACTTCATTAACCGTGATAAAAATAACCTTACGAATAAATAGTTTAAGTCAAAACGCTAGAATCAAACCCAATTAGCCAAACTCTCTAACCCCACAGTGTTTCCCATACATTGATTTATTTGTGGCCGCCCACCACAATATCACCATTGACCGCCACATATTGATTTTAATTTTTTTTCTGTACAAATTTTTGAAATGTAGCCACTTGCTATCCACACTAAGTGACAAGGTTAGCTAGAAACGTACTCGGTGTGGGAGGATATTGCAGCATTCCCAGTGAGCATTTTTCTGTTGAAAAGACGAAACGACTATGGTCTCTGGTGAAAAGACGTTCAAAACTGGTTCAAAAGTGAAAGTTTTGTCACCGACTATTTGAAGACGTTGATTGAACGTTCACATTCAGACCATATTTCACCGGGATTACGTCTTCGTGTAGAACACATTTCGCCTATCAGTGCAATATGACTTTGGAGAAAAACCTTACAGTAATCAATACCATCTCTCTTTCTACAACTCAACAAATTGTCAAAATGATTAACAATTTTGTGTTTGTGACATGTTGATGTTGTAACTGCATTTTAGCCGGTTGAAAAGAGGGGGAGAAGCTCTTAGACATTCAGACCGAATATCACCCAGTTTTCAACTAGAAATCAACGTTGAAATCCTGGTTGGTGCTCACTGGGTTAGCTAGCTATAACGTTAACTTTGCAGTCTCATCCCACACTGAAAAAACGATGTTGCGGTACACTAGAGCTTAAAATCCTCAAACCTCATCATAAAGGTTTACATGAAAAACATAAAATAAACAAAACTTACTGAACTTTCAGCAATCCACTGGGTAGCGCTTCTCCTTCTCCAGTATCTGCGGCTGAATAACGAGCTGGGTGTTCCGCGTGATGTGATGTCGGGTGCCGCACTTTCGCTATTTACAGTAATCCTGTATTATTGCCATGGCATATTACAGCCAGGTTACAATAAGGTTACAGCAAGCCAAAAATATACTGTATAATATTCCCGCTTAATCAAAATGACCAAGAATGCAATATAAACTGAGGTATTTTACTGTAATGAAAAAATGTGGTATTGTACTGTTGGTTTTACAGTACTGTACTGCTAAATCTACAGCAACATCTAAGAGTGTACTTCTCATAGACATATATACATAGACGCTGCATTGACTGTGGCTTATTATTGTTATTATTATAATTATATCACCATCATTATTATTATTATTATTATTATTGTAGACATAGGATCTGCTGTCTCCCACGAGATCTGGTTTGTATGCTCTGCTCATTAAAGCATCCATAGAAGTCCGGCATCTTTTCATTCACAAATCCAAGATGGCTGCCCTGTAGGCACGCCGCTCTATTGGGCGGCAGCAGTCGATGCGGCATCTATGTATATATGTCTATGATTACATAAGTTAACTTATATAATCTTTGTGATATATAATGAGGTTTGTTGGCTGTTTATCTGCTGTGAAGGTGTAATTGATTATTGTGTTTACATGTGTCATTTTCGGTTTATTCAATCAAACTGTAGTGTGTAGCTGTATATACTGTATGCTTGGTTATAGCACAAGATGTATGAGACATGCATACAGCATTATTTTTGTTTCTTTTCTTTCTTTAACCTGTTCTCACAGGTTGACCAGCAATAAAGCCCTGTATTTTAATCAAGACCTCTTGACTCATCAAAATATATGGGGAAATGGGATGTAAGGAAAAAATGTAGGGAAAGGCTAAGGTTGGGAAAGGATGTGGGGAAATGAGGAAGATGGGAGAAGATATGGGGAAAGGAGGAGGTATAGAAAGATGTCGGGAAAGTAGAAGGTAAGGAATTACCTTGAACTTGTCGGATCAGTACCTGGGCAAAGACTCCCCTGTGTATGAACAGTAGTTGGAACCCTCTTTAGGAAGGGGGGTTACGCTGTCTTGGTGCTACTTCCTTTTAAGTGTCTTTTGATTTTAACACTTCTTGGTAATAGCTGGGATGAAGGTTGGCTTCAACTTGACATTACTGGTTCTTTGGTAGCTCAGCTCCAGTTTGTTGCAATCCAAGTATCTTTTCATGGACCGAGTCTGATCAGTGCCAAACCTCAGCAAAGACTCCCCTGTGTTATCACAGTAGTCGGAACCCTCCTTAGGAAGGGGGTTACGCCGTCTTTGTGCTACTTCCTTTGAAGTGTCCTTTGATTTTAACTCTCCTTTCTTGGAAATGGCTGGTTGGCAGGTTGTCTTCCGCTTGACTTCACTGGCTTCATGGTAGCTCAGCTCCAGTTTGTTGCGATCCAAGTGTTGTTTCATGGACCGAGTCTGAACAGTGCCGAACCTGGGCAAAGACTCCCCTGTGTTATCACAGTAGTTGGAACCCTCTTTAGGAAGGGGGTTACGCTGTCTTGGTGCTACTTCCTTTGAAGTGTCTTTTGATTTTAACACTTCCTTCTTGGAAAGAGCTGGTTGGCAGGTTGGCTCCAGCCTTATATCACACTGCAATAACCAGTGATAGGCAAGTTACTTCCAAAATGTAATATATTTCATATTACTAGTTACTTGTATTTGAAAGTAATACGTTTCTTTACAATATCACCATCTGTGTAGAGTAATAAGTTACTCATTACTTTTTAGTTATTTTCACCAAAATAAACATTTAGGACAAGGCATTACAAAATGAAGGCGCACAATATTTTCATTTGTATTCTTTTAACCTATTTGAATTTCAATTTACATTGCATAGTTTTAAAGGTTGTCTTCCTTGAATTATTTTTCCTCAGACTCTGACACACAAAACTCTAGTGACTCATAACTTTATATATTTCTATCCATATTTTTTTCTCAGTGAGGGCTTTGTTCATTACCACCCGCAGTCTCATTTATGAGTATTGTCATATGTCATATCATTGAATCACCTCTCACACCACCTGTAGTGTCTCATCTTAAATGAACTATCTGTGTTTATACTTTAACAATAGGACTATATCATGAGAGATTTGTTTTTACCTTGTCACTTGATCGAACAGGGATTTTGCTGACAAGTTTTTGAAACGCCAGCGACTCAACTGTAGAAAAATGTTCGGCAGTTCAGGAAAAAAAAATTAAAATCTTTGCAATTAAAAAAAGTAAATTCCTCCTCACATTTTATATTGCTATTCACTCTTTATAATTACATGTCTATTTGATAGACGCACTATTGTACAGGAGAAATTGTAGTATGAAATGATGGGGGTTGCATAAAGGGCCAGTTGAAGATAAATGTTTTTATTGTTAGATATACACCGATCAACATTATCACCACCTGGGCATCGACTGTGGAGCAGCGTGCCTACAGGGTGGCCATCTTGGAACAGGGCTAGCAGAGGCAGCGGTGCATCAACCTACGAAGGAAAGAGGTACTCCTCAATCTCAAAGTAGAATTATTCGCTGAATTTTGGACCAATTTCCAAATGTATTGATTTGTTAAAAACGTCACACATGTAGCTATGATACAGGGTGCTTGGATATTTTAAAAAATGCTGGTTTTACTACCCAAATACAAATTCTACTTAATGTTATCAGCAGACGAGCTTCTGACAGAAGATTTGTGAATGAAAAGATGTCGGACTTCTGTGCAGCGTATGGATGCTCTATTGAGCGGAGCATACAAACCAGATCTCGTGGGAGACAGCAGATCCTATGTCTACAACAATGATAATAATAATAATGATGATGATAGTGATATAAGTATAATAATAACAATAATAACATAATGTTATTATATATAATATAATGATAAGAATAATTATAATAATTATAATATAATATTAATATAATGATAAGAATAGTAATAACAGTAACAATATAATAATAATTATTATTATGTTATAATTATTATATATATGTTATTATTATACTCAAATGCAATGTATATACCCTTCAAGCAATACTTTAAATAAAGACCTGAACACACCTGAACGTTTTCTGCGTTCTTTTCGTTCTGTCTCTGTCTGTCTGTCTGTCATGTCTGACGTTTAACAAACAAACCTTGTGAAAATAGCTTGACAACTGAGCGATTTATTATCACTTTTATGGTGTAGAAACATAAAACCTCCATAGATGTAATCATAGATGGATGCACTGTAGGAGCGAGTGGCCCTGTTCCAAGATTATTATTATTATTGCTATTATTATTATTATTATTTCTATATTATTATTATTATTATTATTATTATTATTGCTATTATTATTATTATTATTTCTATATTATTATTATTATTATTATTATTATTGCTATTGCTTTTATTATATTAATATTATATTATTATTGTTATTATTATATCATCATCATTATTATTATTAACTATATATAACTATAACTAGTTCTATCAGTTACCTCCGGTTCACGTCTACCATGTGAACCGCAACAACACACATACACTAGGGCATAGGTCGGCAATAGGCGGCCCGCGGGCCAGATGTGGCCCGCAAGCAAAAACATCTGGCCCATGAGATTGTTTGAACTAGAGAATGATAATAAAAATATAAAATATACTTTTAAAAAATCGGACTGCCAGTCTCAAAAATGCTCTTTATTGGAACCTTCATTTTCCAGAACAGAAAAATTTCCTCAATCTAAATGCTTATTTGTTTTATCTGGATACGAGAGTGAATACGCACATCAGCGAGGTGCAGCGTGAACGCTCAACATGCAAAAACAAATGAAGTCAGTGGACAGCGCCTGGTGCTGAAATTCCAAACTAGTCCCTAAAACACAAGTTGTCATTCAAACAATGGACATAGGCTTCATATTATTGTGAAAATTAAAACACGACTTCTTTCAAACAGGCCAGACATCAAACATAGGCATTTCTGTACATAGAACTGTGAAAAGTAAAACACGAGTTTCAAACATGCGTGTTATTTAGGCCTTTATATGACTGTGGTGGCACCAAAAATGTAAACTGATAACAATGCATTGCACTGTTAAATCGGAGCAAATCAGAGCAAAAAAGTACGAAGCAAAAAAGCCGAATCCACTCGACCATGGGCTGGAGTGCTCGGCCCCTGAAACGACAGAGCAGACGTGCTACATTTACTGCCTGAATTATGCCTAGCCTACAACGAGACATTCATTAAAAATACAGTTCAGATTTTAGACACAATTACTGGTTTAGATTACTCACCTAGTGTGAAAAGTGGCATCTCCCACTGGTCACTATTTGCTGGATATCTGGTGAAATAGACGTCACTTTAATCCTCAGGCAGTTCTCGAGATTTTGGTGAGTCAGTCTATTCCTCTCATGCGTTTTTATTGCATTCATAGCTGAGAAGGACGACTCACATACGTAGGTGGAAGGGAACATTGTCAGAATGTAAAGTGCGACTTTCTTGAGGTTGCTGTATTCCTCGGAGCATAGTAGGCCTACCCAAAAGGCACTCACGGACTCCGCACTTCTGAGCGCATCTCGCACAACTGAGGTGGTTTGGAAGTCAATAATTTCCATTTCCAGCGCAGCCTGATCTAAAGAGGAGATAATTTCTTTCGCCAGGAAGGAGAAGTTGTCGGCTGGTTTTACTGCAGGGTCACGTATAAAGTCAATGATGTCTTTTGGGATGGAGTAGTCATCAAACCGAGAAGTGAAGTTGGCTCGTAGCCTCTTGATGAAGTCAACCATCAACTCCGTCACTTCTCCCGCTGTCTTCTTCAGTGTGCTGAAATGTAGGAGCCTGCCGGTAGATATGTCTGCCTCAAGCATCTCAAGCTTCCTCGTGAATGACTCCAGTTTTTCAACCATGTCCACGATGGTTTTGTCTCTCCCCTGTAGCTGAAGGTTAAGCAGGTTTAGGTGGCCAAATATGTCAGATAAAAACGCTACATTGGACATGAACTTTTCATCTTCCAGCAGGATAAGGTGGTCAGCTGCTGCCTTGCTCTTGCTCATTCCAAGGAACGCTTTGATCTCATTCAGTAGCGCACAGAAGCGATCCAGTGCTTTCCCCTTGCTTAACCAGCGCACATCATTGTGAAGCAGCAAGTCATCGTGGGCGGCATCTGCTGACTCAGCCACAAGTTGTCTGAAAAGCCTATGCTGGGTGCTTGATGTACCTCTGACAAAGTTAATGACTTTCATCACTTTGTCCATAACATTCTTTAGCTCGCCATTCAGTCTGGCACAGAGGACACTTTGGTGGATGAGGCAGTGCAGCCCGTGCATTTGGGGGGCGAGTTCTTTCAGCCTGCTCACCAGACCTCTGTGCTTTCCCACCATGGCAGGAGCCCCGTCTGTCACAATTAGGTTAACCCTCTCAAATGATAATGAATGCAACTGAAACAACTCTTCCAGTTTCGCAAATATAGCATCTCCAGTGGTGTGCCCTTCTAATGGAATAAGAGACAGCAACTCTTCCTTGAAATCCTTCCCATCAAAGTATCTCACATAAATGCACAACTGGGCTACATCTGTGTTGTCAGTGCTCTCATCAATGGCTAAGGAAAAGTAGTTTGCGTGACTGACACCGTCGATAATTGCACCCAGCACCGCATCAGACAGCGCTTCTATGCGGCGGGCAGCGGACCTCGCAGAGAGCGACATCTGTTTCACTGACCCGATCACATCATCCATCGACTTGTTGGTATCAAGTTCCTCCAAAACTGTCACCATCATCTCCTTGAAGACCTCTGCGTCAGTGAATGGCTTGTTGTGCTTTGCGAGCACCCAGGACGCTTTCAGAGACGCACTAGTTACCTTCTGTTGGGATGTGAGGCCTCGCACCAGGATCCTGGTGCTGTGTGCATAAGCACCTTTCAGGCCTTCGATTTTACGCTTTCGTGCCTCTGTCTTCTGAGGGAACGCAACCTTGAAATTAGCATGCTTCGTTTCGTGGTGCCATCTAATATTGTACTCTTTGCATGCAGAGACACCCTCGTTACAGATCAGGCATGTGGGCTTTGCATTATTAAAACTGGGGAGGATGAAGGCATAGTTCTCTGTCCATTCATCATGAAAGATCCTGTTTTCGCTGTTAATTTTTCTCTTGAGATTTTTTGATAGTGCCATTTTTCGATAGCTAACAGCAACAGGAAATGTTTTTTTTAACAGGCATATAATTGCTACTAATTATACCACTGGGGCGCGCTACTGCCCCCCAGTGGTCAGTCCACAAATGTAACCTACATCAGCCCGCTTGAATGTCTCAGTGCGTCTGCTCTGTCATTTCAAGAGCACCTATCATTTTCACTATCACCCCTCCTCCCCTATTAATTCATTAAATTAGCCATTGTTTTGGTTGTGGCCCGCCATGTAATGGCTTGGAAAATATCTGGCCCGAGGCCAAACTTAATTGCTGACCCCTGCACTAGGGGGACTTCAGTATAACAACAAAGCTAACGTTTCGTGAGCTCAAGTTAGCTCTTCAGTAAAAGGGACAGTTATTCTCCCTCCATATTACAACATAAAGTTCGACATCAGACTTAATAATACTACTTCAATTCAATTTTATTTGTATAGCGGCAATTCATAACAGAAGTTTTCTCAGGACACTTTTCAAATAGAGCAGGTCTAGACCGAACTCCTTGTCAGTGCTATTACTGCATTTATGCTAACGGTATGGATCAAAGTTTAATCAGTTGTGGTTTCACAAACACAGCCAGTACAGCTGTACGGTGCTAATCAAAGGTACACAGCCTTACTATACAAATTAATTTCTCCAGTTTGACCACTGCTTTCTTACACAAAGCTTAGTGTGTTCTCTCGTTCCCTGCTTTAATATAACTAGCCAACTAGGGCCAATTCATAACAGAAGTTTTCTTAGGACACTTTTCAAATAGAGCAGGTCTAGACCGAATACTGTAAAAATACTATTGTAGAGTTTACAGTAACTTACTGGCAACACGATGCCAGTAAGTTACTGTAAAAGTACTTACAGTACCATTACTGTATATGAATCTACAGTACCTGTCCATAATATTGTATTTTCATTTACAATACTTGTATTATTTTAGCATTCACAGTACTGCTATTATTTACTACTGTATATGAATTTATTTACTAAGTATTTAAGTATTTATTTACTACTGTATATGAATTTACAGTAGTCATCCTATTACTGTATATGAATTTACAGTACCTGTCCATAATATTGTATCTTCATTTACAATACTTATATTATTTTAGCATTCACAGTACTGCTACTACATTTACCTCTACAATATAAATTATTTTCAATGATTTACACATTTATCAGTATGTGTTTTACAATATTACTTTATTAAAAACATTGTACTTGCACTTGTACAAAAACATGTCGTTTTAACAACACCCTGGGGCTTGTGGAAGTAGTGGGTTTGCACTTTGCTGTGTAGGCCATCAAAATCAAAAGTTGGAAAACAGAAACAGACACAGAAAGACAGAGACAGTGAGAGAGAAATAGAGAGAGAAAGATAGAGAAAGCAAAATATGAGAGAAAACATGGAATTAAGTGTGATGGAGATAAAATGTACTGACCTGAAATCCACAAACTAACAGCATGAACATAAACAAGTGTGTGTATGTGTGTGTGTGTGTGTGTGTGTGAGAGAGAGAGAGAGAGAGAGAGAGAGAGAGAGAGATTTCATTTTGAGCCTTCGGGATTGATCCTGAGAATGAATCTGCAAGCATGGGGGGTAAATTATCTGTAATATATCTAATTTCAGCCAAAACATAACAGCACAACCTGGAGTTATCTCCCCCCCAAAAAAAAAAATATATATATATTATGTTATATGATACTTAAATAACCTAAATTGTCATGTTAATATCAAATTCAAGTTGGGGTTGACTGACGTCTTGAAAACCTTGGAAGGACCCGGAAGGAGGGTACCGGAACTACAATTTGTGCCGAGTTACAGTGGTTACAGTACACAGCATTGTGCTGCCTCATAGCTTTGTAGTTCCAATGAATTATCTCTATTATGTAAAACTGTGAACACGAACTTTGCAAGCTAATTATATGTTTTTAAGGGTGGGAAGCACGCCTGTTTGGTCTGATTTTAACTTTTATTGGTAAAATTATTGGTTTATTGGTGAAATCATGTTTTTTATAGGTTTTGACCCTACTCAGTGGCGTCCCCTATTGGTCTGCTGTCAAGTATGATAGTAGAGGTGCAGAGCTTTCCAAAACTGTTGACCCCATGTCTGTAGCATATTATGTTGTTGAACTATAAGCCTTCAGAAATGTCACAGGTACAAGGTTCAAAGGGCACACCTGAGGAGCAAGAACCGCCCACAAATCTCATATTAACACATGTTGCTCCCTAGGTCAAGACCTTTCCAACGATGTCTTCACTGTTGTCCTACGACAAAGTTTGATTTTCTTGTTGGTACACACCATGGCTGTTTGACGTATACATTCAGAGACCTCTTTAAGGGCCAAGCTGGAAACAATCACTCAAAATCTTTTAACGGGTATTTTGTGGCCAGATTTATTTAAGATATCGATTATAGGATTATACACAGTCATACTTTTCAATGTGGACCAGTTCCGAGTTTATTTTCCCCTTAAACTACTGATTGTTTCACCTTTGACATTTTCCCATTAACTTAATATGGCTATTTATAGACCCTTTAACCCCTTCCCCAGTTTGATAGGATGATCCTGGATGATCCAATTTATAATATATCGTAGTGCTAATACATTTCTGTGTACAGTTTAAGTTTTGCAAACATATCTTATAAAATTACCATCATAGGACCTTTTTATCAATAAAATCAGCATAGGCCTAACATGTTGTGTGGAGGGCGACATATACAGTACTTCATAGAACACTGCAACTTTAACCTCTCCTCAAACCATCCAGAATCCAGTCCTATATTGTCTGGGTGACATCGTCCTAAAACACGTGTGTATAGTTTCACGTATAGATATATCTCTAAACATGAACCCGATGACAATAGAAGCTAAAAAATGACTGAATCTCAATGGTTATGTTCTTAAAATAAAAAGTGTACTTTGTCCTAATATTTTACAATATCACTACATTTTTCTGTTCACCTTCCTTTTCTCCAGGCTTGGAGTCATGTGTTATATTCAGCCTGAGAAACTCTTTCTTGTCCAGAAGCCTTTTCTTTTTGTGTCAGTGTTGCTTTAGTTGTGTTGGTGAGGTCAGATCACTGTAGATAGTTGCTCTGACCTTTCTCAGGCGATCTGACTGTTGTCATACCATTGAATAAGCGTTATCCTGATACAATCATCCTACAGATATGGGCCAGTAGGGGCCTACTCTACCTACTAGTAGGTACAGGAGGCAGTTACCACCCATTCATCTGGCTGATCCAATTCTATTCAAGCCCGTAGGTACAGAAGGTTTGTTATCGAGCCGAGCAGTCAAAATGGCTGCATTTTCTTTGATTTTCAGTGGAAAAACAACCTTTTAAGATATTTTGGCATTAGAATTCGTTGTGATAATTTCTAGCGGGAAATGTGTACATTATTTCCACAATCTCTGTTGAATGAATGTTGTTTTTTCAGGCTTCTATGGTGTCTATTCTATGTTTATGGTTGCTATGCAGTTGCTATGGGCGTCTTATCGCTGAAACACGTGAATATTGTTTTGATAATTGCATCGGAGCTGTAATGTTATTCGTGTTATTTTATGTAACTGCTCAATGACGATCTTAAATATAAAAAACGTACATTTCAGAGTTTGCTCGCAACTGAATTTTAAATCCGGAACCTTTGTGTTTGGCTGACCGGAGGACCAGCTGATATGAGACCGTGGCACTGTCAAGTAAGCAACAACACAACAACACATTTACCCACTGACTGAATTTGCAAAATAAATATGCAACGTACGGTTACACTTTCAAAATAAAGCCAGAAGAGAAACGTTTCATGTTTATTATCTATTATATACTTATAACAGAACCCCTGCTAATATTTTACTTGTCCACAGACAACAGACAAATTCTAAAAGCTAGAAACTCTAAACGGAGTTTTATATAACCCAAACGGCCAATAATCTAATATTCTGTATAGATGAATGCATATTTTATTCATCAAATCACGGGATTTTATAAGCATAATCATGAATGCATTTCATTTTTATTCATCTGCGTTTGTTGTAGATTTCTTCTTAAAATCATTATTTTCCCAGCAGAAATACACTATCACGAGATTTGACAGTGCTGAACTGTATATGTTGCTGAATTGTTGGTTTCATCAAATATGATCTCTAACAGCTGAACTAAAACTTAAATCACCTTTTGAATTCATCTATGGTACAACACAATCTGCTTTCATCCATCTACATGACGTTCACAACACTTGAATTAAGTTTGGAGATCAGGGGCAAGGAGACCACGCCCATTTGGGAAAGGTGAAGTGTGTAACGCTTCATATAATTGGTTTATAATTGGCGCAGATTATAATGCATTTTTTTCTGTCATAGAAATTTTTTGTGGACAATAAGACAACTCCAGAAATACCTGTCTAATTTTGTATTCGGGTTTAATTAACATGGCACATCACGGACAGTAATTGCAACACTGCTGTAATTTGGGATGATGCTATAAAATATTCATGGACATATTTATTAGTCTTCTTCACTCAAACACTGACTGCTTATATGCCATTGATTCTGTACATACTGATGTTTTTACACATCCCTATGTATATTTTTTCATTGCTTATGGTATAACATTGTGTATATGACTTGCATATTAAAAACTAAAGGAGATGTGGATGAGTGTGTGAAAGAGACATTCAAAATGTTATGACAAAGGCAAACTGAAACTGAACTGAAATAAAACAAATGAACAAATCTTTTTTTTATTCATGCACGAGAGAGAGAGAGAGGGAGAGAGAGGCAGAGAGAGAACAACATTCAACATACAGGTGTCTTAAAGACACACAAACAAAAACATTAAATGGAGCCTATAAAGTTGCTGGCAGGCTCCCAGGTGTCTTCCCAAGTTTTGCCACTGAAAAAAAATAATGAATGCAAGCAAGTGTAAGATCATTGCATATAAGACAATATTAGTTTATATCAATGGGGTATCATAGAACAACAAATAACTTAGGATCGGTTTTCAGAAGCCTGGTACTAACCAGTTTGGAAGTAAGTACATACACTACTCACAAAAAGTTAGGGATATTCCACTTTTGGGTGAAATTTATGGAAAATGTAAAAAGTTGATGCTACAGTGATATTATATCATGAAAGTAGGGCATTTAAGTAGAAGCATGCAATGGTAATTTCTTCATCTCAAACAATTTATTTAAAAAAACAGCTAACAACAGTGGTGGCTATACCACAACAAAAAATGTCACTGTGTCAGTAAAATGTAATTTGTCCTTCAGCATCGATTACAGCTCGA